GCAGAAACCGCCGCATTCAAGGTCAGCGCTCATAACTCATTACGCGAATTATAACAATACCTATTAGCTTTTAAATTAAAGAAACACGCCCGAGCCCGACCGACCGCTAGATATCGGGAGTCGTCTTTCAGTAGGTAGGTATCATTTGACACGCGTGTCATTGACCTCTCAAACTAATTTAACTAGGAAAAACTATTTCGAAGCTTGCAGAAACCTTCAGCTTCGACTGGTTTGAGTAGATTTTACATAACCAAAAGTAATTACTTAAATGAAACAAAATACTTTAGATATTTTGACTTTGGACGTTATCAAACAAAATAAAATAAAACTTTACGTACCTAAGCGAACACAATATTATTATGAACAAAACTTGAATTAATTGTCGACAAACACACTTACCTACACTAATTTGTGCTGTGCGAGTTACACAGCACGTTGATTTTTAGTTTACTGAAACTATTACTGAATAATTATCAAACAAATGAATTGTATTACACATGCATAGAAGCCGGCCGGCACAATTACTCAAAAAACAAAACATTTGATTGAAATGTCACAGATTTGCGGGGGCGCCAGGCGGGGAAGGGGTGGGTTCGAGTGGTTTGTGATTGGCTGATCGCAATTCCGGTGCATTCGAATTAAGGAATACACTAACGGACAGTGAGTGGGCAAGCGAGAGCGGGGTTATGTATGACTCTAGGTCGGACTCTATTTCAACTTAAAACGCGCGAATTTTCAAATTAGTCCTAGTAACTTTTTTGGTGTGGTTTTTGGTGACGTGATAGTGAGACGTGATGCCCTAAGGACGGATTTTTTTTTGTGCTTCATCTAGTGCCCCCCCCCCCCCCCCCAGACGTGATGCCTTAGGCAATTGCTTAATTTGATTAAGGGTTAATCCGTCACTGATTATGCCATCTGTTAGTGTCCACGTCTCACAACCATATGTTAATTTCGGGAGGATGCATTGGTCGAAAGCACGCCTTTTTAGATGTATCGGCATGTTGGATCTAAAAATTTCCGGCATTTGTCCAAAGCTCGCCCATCCCAAACTTATTATGCACTTTATGTCATCGCTCAAGTAATAATAATAATAATTCTGCCGGCCGTCTGGCCTCCTCTGCCGGGGGGAATCCTCCCACCCCTCGAATCGTCGAGGGGTCGGGAAGAGTAAATTATGTATACAGGAATAATAATCATTTAATCCTCACCATAATCATCATTATTAGATTAAATTACAGTAGTTTTCCATGTTAATTACTTGTCCTAGATATACATATTTAGTGACCTCTGCTAGGTTAATGCCAACGATTTGAATACTTGATGTTATTGGCCTATTGGCCATTACCTTTGTTTTTGATAGGTTCATGTTCAAACCGACTCTTCGACATGCATTAGCTAACGACAACAACATAAGCTGAATCGCATCCCCACTTTCAGCAAAAATGACAATATCATCCGCGAAACGTAGATGGGTGAGACGTTCGCCGTCAATTCTTACGCCAAATCTACTCCATTCCAGTGTCTTAAAGGTGTCCTCTAATAAGTTAATAAGTTGGATGATTTATACCGAGATTTAATAAATGTCCAATAATACTTTGGATTAGCTTTTATTGATTTTTCAACAGATGATATGTAGTTCTGGTAGCACTCAGCTTCTACGCGTTTTACCCTATCCCTTAATAATTTATATGTATGTAAGTCCGAATGATTGCGCATAATTTCTGTATTTACAATAATATTTACATTTTTCCTTAATTAATTTCTTTAGAGGAGTCGTGTACCAAAACGGGTAGTTACTATCACGCACAATTTTAGAGGGTATATATTTATCAATGATTTGATTTATAACTGTGTAAAAGAAATCAGTGGCTCCCTCCATGTTTTTTTGCGTAAATTCCGTGTGCCAATTTATGTTTTTGATTTTTGAATTAATCTCCATATAATCTCCCTTATTAAAAAACCGTTTAGTTCTCATTGCATGCCGTAGATATGAACAATTGAACGATATAAGATGAATTATAATGGCTTTGTGATGTGGGTCAGGAGAAACCAATGGGTCGCAACACTCTTCGACGCTAACCAAAGTATTACATAAGACAAGGTCCAATAAAATTCGACATATTTCTAATTATAATGCTTGTTAACTTGAAACTAAAAGCGACAGCACAACAATTGCGACATTGTGATACTCATCATGCTTATAAAGCCAAAGAATATATTCTTTATTACTCTTTTAAACCAAAATATTAGATTAGTAGCCAAGGTCTGTAAGGTTTTACATCCGACTGTTTTTTTTTTTTAATTACTTATCGCCCTAGGGCTTTTTTAGCTACATTATTACTCAAGAGCGCTTATTGGTCATCTACAAGCTCCATTTGGGGGTTATTAGGACCTACTTATCGAATATGATAGATGTAAAATAATTTAATTTTTTCTAAATGTCTTGCTTGTGATGAACTTAAAATTTTTATTTTTATAATATAAATATCACTGAAAAGTATGAAATAAAAAACTTAAAAAATAGAACCGAATTTAAACTTTTAAAAAGTGATAATCTTATAAATACTATATGTAATAATAATGAAATACCGTGCAGTCTTAAACATGAAAATACTATATATAATACGGGTTCATCAATATGTAATGCATTTTCTAAATATTTCCATTCAAATTTTTTAAACGTCCCCGCTTCTTCAATTAATTCATTTAACGAGTGCGGTTACTAATATAAGCAACATCATTGTTAACGTCGATGAAGTAACCAAACTTCTTCTAAAATTGGATCCTTCAAAGTCAGCCGGACCTGATCTTTTACCTGCTCGCTTCCTTATCAACTGTGCGAGCACGACCGATTTCACTTCTCTTTAAAAAATCCTTAGCAGTTGGCATGATTCCGGACATATGGAAGCGTGCCTTTATCACTCCGGTCCATAAAAAGGCTCCAGATCAGATATAGCTAATTACCGGCCAATCTCTAAGCTTTGTATTATTTCCAAAGTTTTCGAAAAAATTGTCTATGAGCAGCTTTATTCAGCGCTACAGCATTCATTCAGTTTCACGCAACATGGATTCCTAAAGGGTCGGTCGGTTGTATCAAATCTTGTATTATTGAATGAATATCTCACTGTAGCCATGGATAGTGGTAAACAAGTTGATGTCATTTACACAGACTACAGCAAGGCATTTGACCGGATCCAGTCCAATTTACTTCTGCTCAAGTTGCGAAACATTGGCGTCAATGGCGATTTGTTGAGATGGTTGACTTCATACATAAAAAAACGTTCTCAAGCAGTTGTTATAAAGAACTATATCTCTGGATGGTTGGCGGTCCCTAGTGGCGTTCCTCAAGGGTCGTTGCTTGGTCCTCTTCTGTTTGTAGTCCTTGTAAATGACATCAAGCAGTGTTTTAAGTTCTCTAAGCTTCTATGTTTCGCAGACGACATGAAAATCGTTGCACCAGTCTCCTCTTTAGCCGATGCAGCTTTTCTTTAGGGTGACTTACTGAGGCTCGATAATTACTGTATCGATAATTATCTGTAAATCCATCTAAGTGCAATGTCGTCACATATAGCCGTAAGAAAGAATTGGTCCACTTTGACTACACGGTAAAAAACACAAAGTTAAGTCGGGAAACTGTTGTCAGTTACAGGAGTGCTCCATGATAATAAGCTCATTTTTGAAAGGCATGTTGATAAAATCATTTCTAAGGCCTCAAAAGCCCTTGGATTTGTGATGCGTAATTCTGGGGATTTCACTAAAGCAAAGACACTGAAAATATTGTATTGTACATTTGTCCGTAGTCAAATGTACAATACAATATTATTTAGTAAATCTGGAATCCTAGATACGATACATATATAATGCGCATTGAGTCTATACAGAGGAGATTTTTGAGATATCTCTGTTTTCGCACTAAGGATCATTATGACTCGAGACGCTATTTGGATCTTTGCAAAAAACATCATCTGCTCCCATTGGAAAGGCGCCGTGAGATTGCAGACGTTGTATATTTAATGAAAATTGCATCTGGTGTAATTGATTGTCCTGAATTAGTTTTCAAAATTTTTCTTAGAACCCCAACAAAGCCCCTCAGATTCAATTCTCTTTTATATATCCCTCCCGTTTCTACCAATTATAGACAAAATGCATATCTTTGGCGAGCTCTTAACAATTTCAATGACCTATCAAGGCAGGCTAACTTAGATCTCTTCGACACTAGTGAGGTTTCGGCAAGGCGTATTTTAAGCAGTATGTTCTTCAACGATTTGTGAGTACCATGTAATACCTATATATAATTAACTACCGATTTTGTTATAGCTGGGTACTAGGTGTATGTGCGTGCTTGATTAATTTAATGACTATTGTAATACATATTAAGAGTAGTATGTTACTAATGGTGGGGACTTTTAATTGGCTTTTTGTCTTTATTATAGTTTAATAAGATTTTTCATTGTATAGCTGTAAGTCTTCCAAAAAATTAATAAATAAATAAAAATAAATAAATACTTATCTCAAAAACAACTTATTCAAGAAAATGCTATTGAAGTCGGGCGCCTGTTATTTAGTAGCATTTCGTCTTCAGTAGTATTTTCTTGAATAAGTCGCTTTTGTGATAAGTATTATTTATTATTATTTTAAGATATCTGAGCCCATCTAACTGCGCAGAGGTGTGAGACAGGGCGCAGGGTGAGACAGGGACACATGCGCATTGGAAGATATGTTCAAGACGCTTGACTCGAAAAGAATAGGCATTAATGTAAACGGCGATTACATCTCGCACTTGCCATTTGCAGACAACATCGTGTTAATGGGTGAATCGCTGACGAAGCTGCAACAGATGCTGGACAGTCTGACATTAGCCTCACAATGAATAGGTCTCAAAACTAACCTAGACAAAACCAAAGTAATGATCAACAACCGTCTAAATCCAAGACCTATCGTTGTAAATGAACACCACAGTTCGAAAATGTTTCCGAATATACCTTGGGCAGATTCTGCAGCTAGGTCGCAACAATTTCGAAAAGAAGGATCCAGCCGGACTGGACAGTGTTTCGTAAGCTACGTCGAGTCTTCTCATCATCTCTGTATTAATGCTTGAAGACAAAAGTTTTCGATCAGTGCATCCTACCCGTCACGACCGTGGACATTCACAATACAGCTGGTCCACCAGTTTAAAGTAGCTCAGTGAGCTATGGAACGCGCTATGCTCGGAGTTTCTATAAGGGATAAAATTCGGAATGATGTCATCCGACAGAGAATCAAAGACATCGACATAGGAGAAGGGATTTGTAAGCTTAAGTAGCAGTGGGCTGCCCATATCTGTCGAGAGTGGAGACCGCGAATCGGCTACGCTTAAGGCGCTTAAGGTAATAAGGTGGAGCGATGAGTTGAGGAAGGTCGCTGGTAGGAAATGGATGGGAATAACGGAAAGTACTCGTTATTTATAAATACCTAATGTAAATAAAATTAGTTTCATCATATACTCGTAATAATAAATAAAAAAATCATCCGTTAATCGGCGACAGCTACTAACGGAATCAAAATCGGCAAAAATAATTATAATAAATAAGCGAGCGAGTACTATAAATTTTAAAGTAAGAAATGTCACATGTATATGGCTCACTAACTATAAAGTTTTGTGCAATTTTATTTTCACTACTTTGGTTTTCAGGTAATCTACATCAATATGTTTTGTGTAAGTTAAGATTGGCTACTTTATTATTTTAACAATTATCAAATACTCTTTCTTAGGTGATAATTGATAAATAAAAAATCTATGCAATCCAGATTCTTTAGACATATTGTTAGTGGTTATCGATAAAATATTTTAACCGAGGGTCAATCATTTAGAACGAAACTTGTGCTCTCACTTACTTCTCGGCGACCGCTGAGACGGGCATCTGCCGCTGCAGGTCGCGCAGCATCAGCGCACAGTAGAACCTGCATAGTGACGACTCGGGCACGTTCTGAAACCGAGTGACGTCACGATTAGCGTTCGCGATCATTTTCATTAAACCAAAGCACCAGTTTTGTTCGCAGAATATTCATGTGTAACATTCATGGGTAACCACGATATGATGAAATTGATTTAAAGAAAATTATTCTTTATCCGAAAGACACAATTCATTCATAGCAAAAAAAGTAGCCATATCTTTCATCAAAATTGTTCGCTCACCGTTATAGGTTTCCCGGTCATCATCTTGATGGCGTTCATTTCCGTGATTCCCACCGCCCTGGCGACATAAACGCCTTCTTCGTCCAGATCATTGTACTGATGAAAAAATTCAATACTTTATTTATTTAATTAATTTTTCACCTGTTTTACTTTAACATGTTTTTATACAAACCGAGAGACGTCCGACGGCGTAACGTAAACACAGACTATAATTTATTCTCACCAGTGAATAGTAGTGCCTGTAGTCTGGTTTGATCCCTGTGTCGGGGGTGACCAGGTACAGCAGATGCAAGTCGCCCAACAGCACGAGGCCACGCGACGCCACGTTCAATTCGGACAACAACTGTTTCACCGAACTCAACTCCATACAACCTGAGGATAATATAAACCATATTTATAACACACACAGTCTTACGCTTTTACAAAGCAGCTCCAATAGTATCGATCGCGGAATGCTCTTTATAATAATCAAATCGATAAGCTTTCACAGAGAATTATATATTGAAGTTACCATGATGGTTACTGAAATGAACTGACTTTCTTTCTTAGTGCAGTGTAAAATATTTTATGCTTATCGGGGCCCTCGAGTCAGAGGTAAGTATACACGATTTGCGTAGTATAAGTCACACGATAATGCTGCTCGTACATCACCCTCTTATTCTAATTCAATAGACGTTTGGAAAGGCTCGCTCGGCGATAAAATAATGCGACAACTTGCGTGCATACAATCTATATATTAAATAAAAATCTTAATTACAACTGCTCGATAAAAATAAGTATACGGTCGTACTGTCGTTGCGTGCGTCGTTCATGAATAGCGATCTAAACGGAAGCGGGTCGCGTTCGCTGCTCGCTCCGGTGCGGCGGTGAGGCAGCGGGCGCGGGGTGGCGCGTCAACGGCGGGGCGCGAGGAGGGTGCGCGGGCGGCGGTCGCGGCCGCGGGTCGACTCGCGGCGCGGGAGCGATGCGTTAACAACGGTCTCAGCGGTGCCTTTTTCTTCAAGAAGCGTTATCGAATAGGGGAATCGATGAGTATGCTAATAAATAAAATACGACAGTACTAGATCGAAACCGGTCTATCACTGCTATCGGCTCCACAAAATCTCATAATGTAGAATCATGTGGGTACTCGAATAATGTGTACCCGCATACATCACAGGTATACCATATTTTTATTTTTGGGCCTATGCTCAGGAGGGGGCTTCTTTAGGGTGTCGACGATGATACTTTTATTTATTTATGTAAATTATCCCGCGAGATCGATGAGCGACGTTACGTTTGGAACGTTTCTTGAATTTTCACAAACAGGATACCTTGAACCGCCGCCGCGCCCAGTTCGGTGACGACGAACTCGGCGTCCCCGTCGCCGTGGACCGCTTCCAGCGCGCCCGACTCGACGAGGGACCTCAGGGACTCGTCGCACACTTCGTCCAGATCCACGTCCGGGCTGACGGAACGGATAGAGCGTCGTTTACATAACACAGCTGGCGGGAGAGCGACACCGAGTATAGGAGCCGAGCAGACCTGGCGGCCAGCAGCGTGCGCGCCAGCACTTGTCGCAGCGGCGCGCGGCACGGCGCGGCCAGGCGCAGCGCGGCGGCGGCCAGCAGCAGCGCGGGCGCGCGCGGGCGCAGGCGGGAGCGCGCCGCCGCCGCGCCGCCGCCCAGCGCGCCGCGCAGCCAGCGCCACTCCGCCGCCGAGCACATCACTATGCTCTCCCCTGCCCGTACAGGTAAACGGTCAAAAGTAGTGAGGGCCCGGCCGCGCCGTCCTTCTCTCGAAGCCGGCCGGACCCCTCGTGACCGAGGCATATTTCAAAATCGCATTAAATTTGAACGGGCACTTTAAGAATTATCGCAGATCAGAATATCTTTATTCTGTCCCTGGCCGCCTCCTGGATCATTGAAAATCTAAGGACCTTCTAGCAGATTTCGAACACCGTTACAATTTTGCATACAAAGTAAGGAAAAAATCCAGCTTTATGTAATATTTGTCCTGTTTTTTAGTATTATTTACTTACGTGTCGCTCAGTAACACAAACGATGAGATTTTTAGAAACATTTACCGACATAATTGAAATCTTAAAAGTTTTGACAAAAAAAATACATTGGGACACAATTATGCATGCCATAGATTTATAAATCTACGTCACGTACAGAGTGGACCGACGAACGGCCAACGAACGAAATCTGTAGGAATGGGCTTCGTTAATTTATCCGAGCTGTAATGATCGATTCATTAGAGAAAAGGACTAAGTTGATTCTTCGGTATTTATATGCGATTAATCATATACGATACATATGAAGTAGCTCGGTGGCGTAGTGGATAAGCGCCCCGGCCGCAATTGTTGTTGTAAACCAACTTTCGCAAGGATCGGTAACGGAATGGGTGACCAAATATTATTACTCGAGCTATTCCATGCTTCGAAAGGCACGTTCAGCCGTTGGTCCCGGCGGAGGGTCATGACGCGACGCGCGGGCAGGTTCACGCCCGCCGCCAGCGTCTACATGGAGCACAGTACCTGTTTGGCAGATGCCGGCGCGGCCGGCGCGGCCCGCCATCTGGCGGTAGGCGGCGGGCGTGAGGCGCGCGCGGCCCACGCGCGGCGCGCGCACGATGACGCGGCGCGCGGGCAGGTTCACGCCCGCCGCCAGCGTCGACGTGCAGCAGAGCACCGACAGCGTCCCGCGTCTGCGCCGCCGCGCCGAGAAGTTAATCGGCGAAGTTGTGTTTAAGGCGAATATTTTTTTGCATAACTTTTTTTTCGCATTATAGTACGGAACGTGAAACACAGAAATGTATCAAGATAGAAAAGCCCAGTGAAAAAATTTATAACTATATTTGTGTGGGACGATTTCGAACACGAACAGAATATAATATTACCTGAACGCTTGCTCGAGCAATACCCGCTCGTCGTTCCCGAGTCCCGCGTGGTGGAACGCTACACCGAAGCGAACGAGACGAACCAGTTCCGCGCTGGCGCCTTCTGAACGCAAAGCATTTTCCAACGCTGCCCGTTCCTCCTGTCGATGCATTATCATTTCCCTGGTGCAAAGAAACAACATTTTTGCAAATAAACGATCCTTTTCTTTTCTTATTACGTTTGAAATGTTATATTAATAAATATCCTTAAAGGAAAACGCTTATGAAATTAAATTAATTAATTAAAACTTAAAAGTATTATATAAAATAAAAACGAACCGAAATTTTAGAATGTAAGGAGTAATTTTATTAAAATCCTGTAGCTTAAAATTTAATTTGGAACGCTAATTATTCGCACATGCTGACAACGTTCAGCACATTCCCCCACTGCCGTCAATACAGGGTCAATTTGTACCTCCTCTGCAGCTGACTAAGTAGTAAAGCGACGTTCTCGCAGTTCTTCTTGGTGGGACAAAACACGAGGCAGGAGTCCTGCGGCACCACCTCGGCCACCAGCCCGCCCAGCCAGTCCGGGTCCAGAGACGTCCCAGCCGGTGAATACTAATAAATATATACTTTATTTTATCTCAGCTTTCACATTCATATTTACTTCGTATCTAAATTGTTGTCTATATGTATTTATAATTTCAAGTTAGATCCAGATTTCAGAGTTGATAGAGAAATTTTGATAACAATATTTCATAATCATGAGTGCCATATATTCTGGGGCAATATATTCAAGATCCTAATAATCCTGCTTATATTATAAAAGCAAAAATTTGTAAGTATTGATGATGATGTTGTTTTACTTTTAACGCAAAAACTACTTACTTAACGGATTTTAATGAAATTTGGTATATAGACAATTCTTAGTCTGGATCTAATTTATTTGCGTTTGAATAGGGTATACAAAAGAGATGTAAAAGGTAATACAATTATCGCCTATTCAGCCATTAACAATAGCATGCAAATGTACTTAGTAAAAGAAGACACTATAAGCACTGATACTATACACTATACCACTAAAAGGTTCACTATGGATTGAAGTACTTCCAGGGGCGCCTATTATTGTGAACGCTGCCTAAACGGTAAAGGATATATGAATGCTTTCTAAATAAAAGTTGGAGAACTTTTAGTTTTGTTTAAAAAAAATCAGCGATAACATTAAGTGACAGTCAAGTGTTTTAATCAGCCGTTCTATTAGGCGGCTAGGCCCTTAAATAGGGATGACGACTGAGTAAAAAAAAAACAATTCTATCAAGTCCGTCAGTCAGATAATAGAAAAATATTAGATACTCTTTTTTTTTTACTTCAATTTAACGAGAAATAGCTAAGATAACAAGCATTACAGACAGGAGTGGGGACTTGCTACGTCACAGTTTTGTAGAAAACGTACCATAACATGACGTCATGCGAAATTTCAACTCCATGTATCACCGTAATTTTATGATTACGAAAAAAATAAAAAATACGTGTTTAATATTTTTTAACACTCTACCTGACGGACAAACAAACAAAAATTTGTCGTCATCCTTATTGTGTTGTGAATAGGTGTTAATGATCCGTATATCTAAGTAATTTCTTGTTAAATCGAAGCAAAAAAATGCATATTTAATATTTTTTATTAAATGACTGACGGACTTCATAGATTTTATTTGATTTTACCCAGGCATGTTCCCATTCTCCCGAGACTTCGCTCTTGATAATTGAATGGCACCATTCAACTAAATGGCTAGCTGCCCAATTGAATGGCTAATTTACCCAGTTGGCTGCGACATATCTATGTGCTAAGGTTAATCCACAAAAATAAACTTCGTAAAAGTGTATTTAATTTTTTTAATGACACGTTTCACTATTTAAATTCTGAACAGCTACTTTACTACACATCGAAGTCTCTGCAACTCATGGTACTCACGTCAAAAGCTAGGTGACGATCAGGTACGATTTCCAAGCCCTTTGGTGTCCACTGCATCTTATGCAAAACGTCTCCTAGCTTCACATATTCTGTCAACTCAACTGGCCGAAATTGTCTCTCGAATACATCCGCGCACAAAAACTTAGCTAACTGAGGCATATTGTCTATCGTAGCACTCATGCCTACAATCTGAATACCTTCTGGAATTTGAAATTAAATTTAATAGGTGTTGTGAGAAAAATTTTAAATAAGGAATATCTTGTTCTATAGTCTATAACTTACTATCAGCAATTAATACTGTTGTTAGTAAAATTTCCAGAGTTGCACCTCTGTCTTGTTCTCCTATCAAATGTAATTCATCCACCTAAAAGAGAACCATTAATTTATTTATTATCTTATGATATACTGGTCAAAGCATGCAAAGGAGCATGTAAAGTAGTCCCAGTTTCCAGATTCAAAAATATTATTGATAATTATCATCAGCCTATTTATGTTCCCACTACAGGGACATAGGCTTTCCACGTGGATGAAATCAAATAGCAGGAAATAGGGGAACTTGCAGAGATTAAGAGCTTTTCATTAACAATATTTTGACTCAATTTTCAAATAGATAACAAGCAAGTTTAGTTGAGCTTAGCTAATTATGGTTTACCACTAAAATTGGGTCACTAAATCTTACCACAATAAGGCCAAGCTCATCAAGCCTATCTAATTCTATGAGACTCCTGATTAAACTCAAGGCTTTTTCAATGGTAGCTATATAAATGCTTTTCTTTTTCCTCCTCCTTTTGGGTGGAATAAGTCCTTTGCCACCAGCATACTCCTCAACAAGGAAATCCAAATTCAATGCAAATGGGGATAAAGACCAAATCTGGAACATTGTACAATATTTTAATTCTTGAAAACTATGTACGGTACACCACACAATCTCCAAGTCAAATGAACTTATATATACTGACCTTCTTTCTAAAATGTGTTCCTCTAAAGAATGCTATAAAAATATGGAGTATTAAATATATAGTATAGATTCTAGAATATTCACAGTTATAAGAGTATTGTGAATCTATCCATACATTTAATTAAAAAGAGACAATCAACTTCTTAGTTATAAGTGAATGAAATTGTAAAGGGTCCACAACTTCATGAAATCAAATATAAACGCACTACACTGATTTAAAATAGTTTTATTTAATAATCTTCATTTTCAATTTCTACAACCTAATTTTGATTACTTGATACAGTAATAGCATTTATTTGCCATGTAATAAAAAATCATAACTATTGATATTTCATATGTAAAACAGTTGCTATTTACTAATTTTTAAAACTATTAGAAATAACTGTAAGTAGTTACTTTTCATATGAGCTATTAACTATTCACACCATCTTTATTTTGCTTACCTTTTCCTGTACAATGGCAACAAAGGGCAGTATGAATAATGCATTTTTCTTTCTATTCAATACTTCCTGCAGCATGAGTACTTCTGCTACTAAAGTTTTCCCACCACTAGTTGGTAAAGCATAAATCAAGTTGCGTCTCTCTCTAATTGCTGGTAAATTCAAACATTCTTCTTGCCAATCTACAAAATAATATTGAGACAATAGAACCAATAAGTTTAAATTGTAAATAATATTTTTATTATACAAACCATAAAACTTCTCAATGTTCCTAAATGTTTTGAAGAGACTCCTTGTGGTTATTGGTAGATTATAAAATCTTTCACTATCATTACATTTAATGGGTGTGGTTAATTTAGGGAATATATCGAAATCATTGTTGTTTTTTTCCACACTACCACTTTCCTTTATATCCAATAAGAAAGAATCTTTGGTTTCAAACATTGAGGTTTTATCCAATTTTTTATCAGGCTCCACTCCACAAATTGACTGGTTGACTAATTCAAAACTCTCTTCAACATTTTCTATAAACAGTTTTTCACAGCCCATTGTGAACTTCAAATCGTCATGTGTATGATGTGTTTGTGCATCTAAATTTATATCTAATATAGCCTGTCCGCTAACAAAACTTGTTTCACAATTGTCAAGATTATCTGGGGGTATTTGCTGGATTATACTGCCCTGTTTTTTATCATGATTTATATTTTGTTTCCATATTTGACTTTGTTCCTGTTCCATTCTTGAATGAAACATATCGTCTGAAATATCTGTAATTTCATTATCAATTTTTTGCATTGTGATTCTACTAGAGCAAATATCTCCTAAATCACTAGTCGATAAAGATTCCCACGGATTAGAAATATTTTGTGTATTTTCGATAACAGGTGAACGTGGAATATCACATACAGAATTATTATCCTTCCTAGAGACATGTAAGAATTCATCTTGATTCGAAGGTAACGGTGGGGATTCACTGCGTTCCAATGAGTTTACTTTAGTGGTAATAATTTGGCGATGAATAGGGCTTAAATTCGAACGTGAAATATTTTGCTTATTGCTTATTTTCAATATAGGTCTCAATACCAGTTTTGTGCCAAGTCTACGTCGCTTCGGCGTTGATGTGTTTTCTTGAATATTATTTATGTCCATACTTTTTTATTTATATATACATTATAATGATTTATTAATGTTTATAAAAAAAAGATAAAAATGATTGTTATTTATAAATCATAATTCCCCTGAGATAACAACAAACTCGTTTTGACAAGCTGTTTTGTTTTGACCACAAATCACAATTTGACAGTGAAACTTTAGTGAAACGTCTACTAGGTATTACGATCTCGATTCAATCAATGTTTTTGAGCTCAATATTTCATCTTTTGAATCGATTTGTGCCTTGCAGAGCGATCTCAAAATCGTCGCAATGCGAACAGCCCTGCGATTCTGTAAAACTCCAAACCCGAATTCGAATTCTCTCAGGTGTCCGAATTGACTTCAAAAAGAGGCATACGCTCAACTTTGAATTGGTAATAACGTTTCGAAGCATAAGTGAAGTGAGTTTCGAAATGATATAGGAATAGAATATCTGAGACACGTGTATTCAATCAATTTTGTTTTGTATTTTCAAATAAAAAAAATGGAATCAATAGAATTTTTACACTAAATGACGTGAATTCGGACACATGAGTGAATTCGAATTCGGGTCTGGATTTTTACAGAATCGCAGGGCAGATCAAAAATCGATATTTACTATAGTTTATATACCGACTATAGTTTATGTATTATTTTCTCATTAATGTGTCAGCTGACTGAATAGTCCAGTTATTTAAAGTTTTTTCCATTGATAAAGGCATCGATTCAATTTGATTAAAATATTGATTCTTTTGTTATTGATATATCGATTTTTATGCAGAAAAATAGTCAAATGCATATCGAACTATACAAGACTGCCAAATTTCTTCACATGACAACTGAGGAAAGAATCATGTCCATTTTTGACCTAGAAATGAGGAAGTATTTAAAAAAAATAAAGAAACTACAAAAAATTATGTTACTAGATGGCAGCACAAATTGTTGGATCTAAACGTCAATTCATGACGTTAAACCAAAGATAATAGATTTGTTAGTGTTGTTATGGATCTGATAATTCGGATTAATATCGAGTTGAAATTTAACTAGTTCGAGTTATGCAATCGCAACTCGATTAATACGAAGTATTCTTTGAATATTTTTATTTTTAATTTGTATAGAGAAAAATGGAAACTAACATAATGGAAGTGAGCACAGAGGTTTTTTAAATTTATGGAAATCAATTGAATAATGTGATATAATTAAAAGTGGCATCTAACTACGGTATACAATAATATTACCGCCAAATAGTTTTATAAATAAAATAGGTACTTATGTCATAGTAGAATTTTTCATTTACTAAAAATAACAACTAGTTTAGTTAGTTTTATGGCTATTAGTTGTTTGTTGAACTTACAACAACAAAACTACATCGAGTCTCAATAATATTTTTATATTATGTATGGTGAATGAATGAATAGCGTTTATTAATCAGCAACAAAAGTCATAAAAACAATAATTATTATGAAAAATCCGTTTATTATCTATAAACTTACCCGATATGTATCAAATATACTATGTATTCGTACAAAATAACATAACTGCTGGCTAAAATGACGTTTGTGCAAAGTGTAACGTGCAAATAACTTGTGCTTTCGAAATTAAGACTTTATAAAACTATTATCAGTTATTAAATCTTATATTCATAATTGAATTATCTTAATAAACATTCAGCAATTAACAAGAAACGTCTGCTCTAAACGAACAGCAAGGTTATAACTTTAACCCATATTATCCCAAGACTCTAAGATGACAGAAAATTGTATTTGTTTTTAGAAATATCTAATAATAAGAGTTCAAAAGAGACAAAAATATGTATTTTATGTTTTTCATATAAATGTAGACTGAATTTCAGGACCGCACCTTAAATGGGGCGCTGGGACAATATGCCTACGGGTTTTGTATGGAATATTAACAACTCATGGTATTTTTAAAGTTGTTTTATTATTGTTTAAAATGAACTACAAACATAATAGTATTAAAAAAAAAGAAATAAGATCGTTTTGCTCTGAAAATATAATAAAAATCATTTTATGGTGTGAAAAATTCGAGAACAATGTTGATGCAAACCAACTTCACATTTACTGCATTTGAATTTAGTGTTCTTGTGACATTGGCGGCAACGAATTTGAGTTTCATTTCGGATTATGTAGTGTCCTTTCTCGTCTAATCTTATAGAATCAGGCAGTTTGTTCTTGGTAGTCATGGGTAACTTGGTACTAAGTCGTTTAGGAAGTGAAGAAGAGGCTTTACCGAGAATAAGATAAGTTTGAACTATGTATCTCGTGAAAGACAGAAAGTCGTGACTATCCTTAGCCTGGCCTGTTGGTGAAAGGCGGTAAAGTTGGTATGCGTTATTAGCACAAACGTTTATAGGAAACATCATCATTTGCCAATACCACCTTTTTAGTCTTATGTCGATTCTATATTTGCCTACATTCTGGTCCAGTCTATCCACGCCACCCATGAATTTGTTATATAATTGGTAACAGTGTGGCTGATCGATTTCGACTCTTTTGTTATTGCACCATCTTTTCACCTTTCCAAGCGGCTCAACTCCGCTTTCAGTCTTTGTCTTGTCACGATATTGTTGTCGTTGTATCGTACTAAAGTTGCATTGGTAGTCGTATCGGTAACTTGATCGTAAGAACCCCTTGGAGTCTTTTTCATTATTTTCGCGTCTTTTATTGGCGCGCTTTCAACTCTATTGGCACGAAGAGTCCCAGTAATATCATGACCTAATTGTCTTACTTCGTCAAGTAATCGTAAAGATGTAAAGAAGTTATCGACATAAAAACTGTAATGATCATTTGGTAGCTTCGAAATCAAATTCATCACAACTGAACCACCCACACCAAGACTTGGATTTGTATTACCAGTTTTGGCTCCCTGGTAAGGCTCACCATAAACTAGATAACCGAGTCTTGTGCTGAGAGACCAGATCTTGTATCCGAAACGAATTGGTTTGCCATGAATGTGCTGCTTGGTTCCGTGTTTACCGAAGTATGGCACCATCGATTCATCAATTGATAATCTCCAATGCTTATCTCCAGGGAAATACTTCAACCATCTTTCATTCATCATATCCCAAAGTGGTCTTACCTTAGCAAATTTGTCATCGTGAGGAAGTTGGGTATTATCACAAGCATGATAATATCGCAGAATTTCTTCAAATCGATTACGAGTCATGCATGCGGCTACTCCTGGATGATGTGTATCAACACTCTGCTCCCAGTACAATCTATAGCGTGATACGCTATTGTAACCTGACAGAAGTAAAATTCCTAAAAAGTTCTTCACTTCTTCAGTGGTGATCCGAAAGTTGACCTGCCCCTTAGCAATTGCATTCTTTTCTGTACTAGATCGTAACAACTCAAAAACATCACCATCATAAAACATCTCAAAAAATTCTATAGGATTATCTTTATCTAAAACAAAATCTGGTACAGTTGACTCTCTTTCCGGTTTAGAAGTTATATCTTTATGCCTCCATTTTCGATTCACAATAGTCTTCACTTTCTTTGCAGGTGATTCTTTTGATGTTGACGTAGACGGTAAACTTTTTTGATCGTCGTAATTTGCGCTTGGTAATCCATAAATGGTTTCAAGGACTCCTTCTGCTGATGGAACACGACACCGCACCTCAGCTTCAGCTAGCAATTGTCGACGAGCAAGATTACTAATATCTCCTGAATCTTCGCTTCCACTGTCTTCATCGCTCAAATTATCGTTTTCAGGTGGTGTAATGACTATGTCTGCTGATAGTATGGAGTTATCATCCTCTAAGAATGATATAATTTCATGAACATTCAGTCTGAAACAAAAAAACAAAACAATGTATAAACAAATATGAGAAATAAAAACAATTTCATGTCATAACAAAAACACTTTGAAGAAAACTTCCATAGTCACCTGTTCCCAGCGCACCTTAGATGGGGCGGTGAATAAATTTCAATAAAATGTAAATAAAAAGTAAACATATTTTTTTTTCATAATGTAGATAAATAATTTAAACATTTATCTATAAAAAAATAGTAATAGAATTATTATTTATAAACAAATAATATTATTATTACTTACCCTTTTCTCGAACTCATCTTGACCAAATTTCACGAAACTTGCCTACGTTTTTTATATAAACCAAAAACACGTAAACTTCAATTGCACAAATAACACAACACAGTCAGTTGTCAAGATTATAATAATATTCATTTGCAGTCAATCACTTGACTTTTACTAATTATTTGAGGGTAGAATATAGATGCACCTTAAATGGGGCGCTGGGATAATATGGGTTAAATTTCAAATGTCAAAGACACGTACAGTTATTATATTGCTACTGATCTTGCATGTCGACGGCGGACGTCGAGCCATGTGTTAAGTTAATTCGTACGGTGGGTTTGTGCTTTTTGGTTCTTACAATAATATTGTTAATAATAGTTTGAATTCCTACACAACCTACTCTAGAAATCCGTTTTATTGAAGTATATTATTTACTAAGTACCTAGAGTAGTTATGGTCTCTTAAAATCTCTGCGGTGGTATCGTGTGCGTTAGGTGGTTACGATCCCTCAAATATAGTATAGTTGAGTTGTTTAGTTGAAATTAAAAAAGCAGCCCTTGCTGAGTTACTTGCCGTTTTTTGTCAGTAAGAGATCTCCCGCCTTAGTTTTGCGAACCATTGGTAAAGTTTTCGACTTTCCCAAGTACCATGTAACAGTCTAGATTGAATTGATTTTGATATTTATGTTAATATCATTCGTTTTGTGGATGCATAATGACACTTCATCTTCATCATCATTTTTGTTCTCCATTCCAAACCTGAATTCGACGAAAGTTACGAGCAACCAATAAGTTGACACATCACTAACGTTGACGTATCAACCAAACATCGTTCCTTTACACGTAACATAATAAACAACTTAAACTTACAATTAAAATAAATTAGTTTGAATGTGAGATATTATAAGAAACACAAAACGATGTCATATTTATTAATCGAAAATACTCAATTTACATTTATTACGTCAGAAATAAAATTTGAATGAATATCATAAACAAAATCCAAAAATCGCGAGTGACATCTAGTATGATTTCAAGAACTAATTTTTATTTTTTAAATACTTCCTCATTAACTAACGCGTCTAGTGATGTGATATATCCTAAAATATACCTTTTTTTATTACGTATTTCATAGCGCACAATTAAGTATTAAAATAAGTCCAGGAAAAAAAATAAGGAGGCTGATAAAGTTTTAGAAAAGGTCTATGTTCCACAAAATGACCGCTTGCTGAAATTCGTTTCATCGACTACGAGAAATATATTCACCCGTCTTAAGGTTAAAAAAGTGCACAATATCAAGTACATTTTATTTTATTTTCTCAATTAAGATTAATATTTTATAAAGATTTTATTTTAATGGAATTAATGATGTGAAAAATGAATGTACAGTTGAACCAGTTACGCATAGAGCGAAATTCTTTTGCATCAAACGGAACGGTAACATCAACCGAATGTCAGACTGTGATCTAATTGACATTTTGCGGTCTCCCGTTTGCTTTCCTTTTATGTTGTGTGTACTATGCGATTTTGATTTCTCGATAAACCCTTACAACTTTTGTATTCTCCACGGACTTCGATACCAATCATTTACGTTACTTTGGCTTGTATTATTTGGACTTCGATTTTGTGCCTTTTGTAAGGATTTAAGACGTACTTAGTGCTTTTGTTTGAAAACATGATGGAACGTTCTACGAGACCCACTACGCATAGATTACTCTGTATAAATTGTAACCTATGTGTTGATAGGATGCGGCGTTA